AATTAAACTTTGGATTCCTGACAGATTACTTTATGATCAACAATTCTTTACAAATGGAAGTCATCAAATCTGACATTATACCGTGTGCGTATTCCGACCACTCGACTATTTCTTTAATTATAAGAACGGTAGCAAAAAGGCGAGGTCCTTCCTACTGGAAATTAACAACAGTTTAATTAACGATCAGGACTATGTAATATTAATTAGAGCAAACATTCCAGAGTGGAGAAAAGAGTGTGGGAGTGACGTGGACGATTTGATCTTGTGGGATTGTTTAAAATACAAAATTAAATCTTGTACTATTAGATTTAGTAAAATAAAATCTAGGGAGCGGAAAAATAAGATTGCATTATTAGAAAACAAATTTAAAAAACTTGAAATATTAATATGTAAAGAACCATCTGAAAAAAATAAAAGAATTACAAGTGTATTATAATTACATAACGGAAGGGTCAATCATTAGAGCACGGGCAGACGTCTATGAATTTGGGGACAAAAACAACAAATATTTTCTTAGTCTAGAAAAACGTAACTACAACAAATCGAATATAACGCAGTTAATTAAAACTAAAGGAGATCTTCTCACTGCTCCAAATAAAATTATGCAAGAAATAAAAGAATTTTACACTGTTTTGTATACAAGCAATCCATGTACTTTTGACCCTGACAGCCATAACCAGTTTATTTTTAATAATGGAATACCTAAATTGGATAATGAAAGAAGAAACTCATACGAGGGCGTCCTTACCCAAATTGAAACTTTTGCTGCTCTACAGTGTTTATCCCTCCCGGAAATGATATTTTGAGCACGGAATTCTATATATGTTTTTGGCCCTCTATTAGACAAATACTCACAAATTCGCTGAACGTTGCATACATGTCAACAAATATATCAAACAGTCAGCGTCAAGGGGTGATAACACTAATAGAGAAAAAGGATAAAGAGAAAAGAAAGATTGAAAATTGGCGACCAATCACACTTTTAAATACAATAAATAAAATTGCCTCAAAATGTATTTCAAAGCGAATTGAGAAACACCTGGATTCATTGGTCCACGAAACACAGACTGCCTTTATTAAAAATCGTCTAATTGGAGACGGTATTCGTCTAATTGAGAGTATAATGGACTACACGCATGAAATTAATTTACCTGGTATTTTGTTAGTTATAGATTTCCGAAAAGCATTTGACAGCATAGAATGGTCTATTTCCTGCATTAAAATCATATAATTTTGGGCCACCGCTGTTGCAATGGATTCATACTTTTTATTTCAATCCAATGAGCTATGTCATGAACGGGGGGACATCAACAGGATATTTTAATATTAGTAGAGGAATAAGACAGGGCGATCTCATTTCTCTGTATTTATTTATATTATCCCTAGAAATACTTCTTATTTCTATCAGGTCTAGCGGCTCTATCATGAAATCAGTATCGAAGGTTGTGAAATAAGAAATTCCACATTCGCCGATGATCTAACTTGCTTTTTATCGGATGAGTCATCTGTTATAGCTCTCTTGTCGCTTTTGAAAGATTTTTATAAATATGCTGGGCTCGCCATCAATTGTGACAAAACGGAAGCAATGTGGCTGGGAAAGTGGAAAAATCGCAGAGATAATCCGTTCGGGGTTAAATGGCCAACATCACTAATCAAAATTGTTGGTACGTTTTTCTCGTACAACAAGAATAAAGCACGTGACCATAAACTATCAGGATTCTTAAACACGGTCAAGTCCATACTAAATTGGTGGTTATCTCGAGGACTCACTATAATTGGTAAAATAACAATTTACAAATCCTTAATAATTCCAAAATTTATATACATATTACACTCTATCTATATAGAGCCGTTCGATATGAAGACTATTAACAGTATAATTTATAATTTTATTTGGAAAGGACATGATAGAGTTGCTCGAAACACGATAAATGGTGATATTGGCCAAGGTGGGTTAAATATGATTGGGATGGTCGATATGTATAAATCTCTAATGATGAAATGGGTACAACGGTATTTAAATGACAAAATAAATCATCCATGGAAGTTATTTCTGAATAGATACTTGCGACCTGTCGGTGGAAAACTAATCTTTAAATATGATTATAAAGTTGATCACCTACCGATTGATATTCCAGATTTCTATATTACAATGTTAAACGTTTGGTCAGAGATAAGACCATCAAAAACAGAACATAATCTGAAATAACTCAAATATTTTAATGAACAACAAAAGTATCTTTTATTGAGAATTTTACTCGCATAGAATTTTGTACATATCTGACATTTTTAACGATGAAAAAGCGATAAAAACATGGGATGACTTTTTTCTATTAGGCCTTTCCCCAATTCAATTATTAAAATGGAGAGGCGTTATTTCGGCAATCCCATCTAAATGGAAGCGTGACCTTCCTAAAATTGTACGCCCCGAACCCTCAATTTCAGTTATTATCAAAGATATTCTATCTCCACCCAGCAACTGCAATACGAAAACAATTCGAAAAGTTTTCTCAAATCTTGCTTTGTTCCTCCAATTAGTAAATTTCATTTTCAGCAATTATTTAAAATTGATGAATCAGAATGGACATTTTTTTCTCCCCTTTGTTGCATGTTTGGATACAAGACTTCAAGAATTCCAGTGGAAACTTTCGCATAACATCATCTATACAAACTGGACATTGTATCATATGACACCACCACGAGTACAGTCCAGTCGTTGTACCATTTGTGGAACAGCAGAGGAAACTATTTTACATATATTTGTGGCGGAGTTTTCTAAAAAAATGGGGTCATCAGCTGGGCGCTCCATCTGCCCTTACCGATAAGCAAATTTTGCTTGGTGACCAAGATTTCAAAATTTTATTGAATTATTTGATAATGTTAACAAAAAAAATTCATATATGACAGCAATCTTAAAAAATATCCTCCAACACTGAACAGCCTACAAGTCAACATGACGCATATTAAGCAGATTGAAGAATACATTGCTAAAAGAAACAACTGTATAGACAATGTCAACAAAAAATGGGAATATTAAATATCTAATTGATATATCTAATCACCTCATTCATCTAGTCTCTTTTTCGGCCTGGTCTTGCTTTTATTGTTTTGTCAGTAATTATTTTTTTTGTCTGTATTTCCTCTGTGTATTGTGAATTTGTTTAGCATTGAAAAAAAAAACTTCTTTAACGTACGCATTATATCTGATTCGTAATTATTCATAACCATTAAAGTTAGCAATATATTATAATGTATGTAATTACGTTATTAATATATTCATATATTATTATGCATAACTCAATATTCAAATATGCAATCATAATTATATAGATATTATTAGTTTTATAATATACGTATAAATTGTATCATTATGCATGAATTAATATTAAAAATGTATCATACTTATTATCATATAATTATTCAAAATATATGGTCATATATGCAAATTATATTCATGAATATTCTACACTGCGTGCCAAGCAAGGAAATATTCCCTATTGTTTAGAAGCGTATTTATAGTATACCTGGGCCTTTAACCCAAAGCCGGAATTCGGTGTGCGGTTACTATTACGTATGCGGTTTATAATAGGACTTTAACGGTACAAATCATGTTTAAACGACATCATTAGGTGATGTTGATCCAACAATTTCCACTTAGAATAGAAAAATACAACAAGTTGAGTATGTCTTTAAGATTGTCTGGCAGAAGATGTCTGGGGCCGTGGTTGTCTGGAAAGGTAAATGAGGGTACCAAAAACATCATCCACCATTATATCTCAGACAAATAATAAATAGACTGGCAACGCTATTGTTTAGAGGTGTCAATCGGCCCAATCCCTGACAAACGTGTTAAGTTGTCGAATAATATATTTTTAGTCAAAATTGACCATATTTTAGGAAAGTAACCATTATTATATGTATAGATCTTCATAAGTAATGTTCTTGAATGTATAATTAAGAAAAAGGAATAACTTTTACCAGAACACTGCAATTTTTTCCGATAGTTATTCGATTTTTCTAGGATAGTTCACGTCGCCATGTTTACAACAAAGCTGTTATTTCATTTCGCCGATGATGTATTAAAAAGCCGTTGAAAATACGATACATCAGGGAAAAACTGTCCACTAAATTGAGGCAAAAATAATATAACGGTCTCAAAATAGTACTGGCGTGATGTTTTGATTTTGTACATGTGTCGCGTTGAGAGAACGCTTTTCACTCACTTCACCTGATTTATTTATATGAAACTTTGGTCCGACCTTTAGCGTCACTTTCTGTTGAAACAAGTAATGCGTTATCGCGTGACTTCATGTACATTTTCCTTCCCTCCCCCGTTGTTTATAAGATTAAAACGTTATCGCAAAAGTAAACACGAGACACACACATTAGATTAAAAGAAATCCCCGCGTTGCCATTATGTTTATTAGTTGTCTGAGATTATATACATAACATGCATCACCCCCTGTATTATGTAATATGTACAGGACAGATAAAAATGCTAATGCATATAGTTCATATACACTGCAAAAATTGTATTCACTGTACCCGCTTCCAGAAGATTGGGTGACTTGGAACTTCCAAATTTTTATACAAGGCAATAGTGTGAAATAGATCCCCATCGCACCACTTTCAACAATGAGAGTCATCTAATTAATTATGCAAATACGTTTGTAATTCTTCAAGACACTCCAATTTGGAAATAGTGTAAAACAAATTACAATGCAAGCATTATTACTAGCAAGCGTTTTGGTCTCATCATTCTAATACATGACTCACTGCGTGATCAACAATAGACACTGTTAGGTGTACCCCAGTTTGTACCACACTGTTCAGAAAAAAACAAACATTTTTTTTATGATTTCATAAGTTGCCCTACCTTTGCCCCACTTGGAATCACCACCACTTCAATCTTCTTCGTGGGAAACATAATCTTCTTTTGCTTTTCTATAGCTTTGTCCTTGTTATCGACCTCTCTTACCTTCTCATCTTCAGTTTGTACATTCTCCTTTTTGGATGTCACAGGAGCAGCATCTTTATTAGAATCTGTCCCCACCTCCACAGTGACACTGCATACCGGGTCTTCCTCTCCATCTTTGGTCTCTTTTTTTCAACAGAGGTTTCAGTTCAGTTCCAGTATCTTTCTTACTTTTGGACTCAATGTCACCTCTATCTTTTGATGAAATGTTACCAATGCTTATTATGGAATTGGGAACGGCAATGACGAAGTCCTTGGCTTTCAACCTTCAAAAAAAATTACTGCATTTAGTGTTGTAACTGATACTAATACCTATTTCAATCCCGCAATGAATTGCTACCTGGTTATATTTACTTGAAAAAATCCCCTCTCCAGGTAAGGTAATCAGACTTGCGTTTTTTTTAACAAGAAGTCAAAAAATAAATTTTACAGAAATGACAAAAATATTCATCAAAAATAGAGAATTGAAGATATCATAACAAAATGAACAAATCTGAAAATGGTCCAATCAAGTAAAAGTTGAAAAAGTGAAAAGTTGATGCAGACGTCAACAACATACAATCAATAATATGATTAGCTCCACTCAATAAAGTCGACAGCGTAGCTAAAACAAATCTGATCAACAACTAAAATATTGACAAATTTTGTAATATTTATTCTGATTTACTCACAGAACATCAACGGTTGATCCCAGCCAGGTCCGTGCTCGTCTGCCTCTGAGTGTTGCTACGGTATATGGCAACTCAAATTCTGGTTCATCCCAGTGTTTATCCTTCTCCAGAGTGGGAATTCGGCCATGAAGGTTATCAACAATCAACAATGCTACCTTTAAAAAAAACATCACATTTTTTCTTAAAAAATATTAATTATTCCTCTCATCACTCTTCATATAACTTTAACCTTTCACCATCGGACTTCTCTCGCCAAAAATATTCAGCACTTTTTTTTCGTATATTCTTCAATATTTATGGAAATGAACCCTATTTTTGGAGCCACAAACAATATTTGAATCAATTTTCAGTTTTTACGAAACAAAATCGGCTATTTTTGACCCAAAGTGCAAATTATAAAGGGAACTATTTTGTGAAATAAAAGAGGGAACTGGCAGTGAAAAGGGATTAGAGACAATTATACAAAAAAATACACACAAATTGATCAATTTTTTATCAAGAAATTCAACCTCAATCCACCCAGCTTTTGTATGACATGTATAATTATAAAATATGACCTCACACAAATATTATGTGTAAAAACTATATTATTTTGACTAACTTAGAAATTAGACTGGAGTAACAACAAAATCTAATGTTTTGTGTTAACCCAACAAAAATATATGTACTTAGCTATCACTGAAAGCAGTTTTGAATTAAAAATTGTGAAAATACCATGGCAATCCCAAAATATATTCACTGATACAGATTTGTTAGATTGGTGCCTCATTAGTGATGAATAATGAATGAATAATAATGATGAATAATATGCAGTTATGCAATGATTGTGACATTGGAATCATGAGAAATATTATGTTACCATGCATAGACATGACATCCCATTGTATTTATAAATATTATACATTGTTACCTGATAGTTTCTGTCTATGATGTAATTCAATTCAAAATCATCATCGTCAGCTCCGTATGGATTTATAATGGATTCAGCAACCTTTGAGAAAAGAACAGAGAAAATTTGTCTATTAGGAAGCTGAGTTGAGAGTGATACAAAGTCTGATGTAAATTACTAGGCGACTGTGTGCCAGTTTGAGTCAAGCGCATAATATTATAATCTACATAGCTTTCACTGTGCCATGTACATTATTTCTGTGAACTGACATAGGTGTAGTCATCGTCTTTACTTGCAAAGTCTTATGTTACCCAAATCTGAACTCATCTTCACTTACTTTCAGCCATCCAAAGTAGAAGAAGAACTCTATCACAGTCAGCACTAGGAAGTAGAAGTCTAGCCAGAAATTTTTGTAATTGATTGAATAATTCAGAAACTGGGCAGCGAACAATTGAACCAGGAAATATGCGTAAACAACAATTGTAACAACCTGTGAAGAACAATAGACAACAATGGTAACAACTTGAGAAGAACAATAGACAACAATGGTGACAACTTGAAAAGAACAATAGACAACAATGGTAACAACTTGAGTAGAACAATAGACAACAATAGCAATAAACAATAATGGTAACCACTTGAGAAGAACAATTGACAAAATTAGTAACAACTCGCGAAAATCCCATTTTGGTGTTTGATATCACTATGACAGGTAATATCTGTAGAAATGATTTCTAGAGTGGTGTGCAAAATACCAATGACGACACTCACCTGTGTATACACTAAGGGAACACTTATCCAATCACACTCACCTGTGTATACACCAAGGGAACACTTATCCAATCATAACTCAGCTGTGTATACACCAAGGGAACACTTATATCCAATCACACTCACCTGTGTATACACCAAGGGAACACTTATCCAATCACACTCACCTGTGTATACACCAAGGGAACACTTATCCAATCATAACTCAGCTGTGTATACACCAAGGGAACACTTATATCCAATCACACTCACTTGTGTATACACCAAGGGAACACTTATCCAATCACACTCACCTGTGTATACACCAAGGGAACACTTATACAATGATAACTCAGCTGTGTATACACCAAGGGAACACTTATCCAATCACACTCACCTGTGTATACACCAAGGGAACACTTATCCAATCATAACTCGCCTGTGTATACACCAAAGCAACACTTATCCAATCATAACTCAACTGTGTATACACCAAGGGAACACTTATCCAATCACACTCACCTGTGTATACACCAAGAGAACACTTATACAATCACACTTCCCTGTGTATACACCAAGGGAACACTTATACAATCACACTTACCTGTGTATACACCAAGGGAACATTTATCCAATCACACTCACCTGTGTATACACACAAGGGAACAGTTATCCAATCATAACTCACCTGTGTATACACCAAGGGAACACTTATCCAATTATAACTCACCTGTGTATACAACGAGGGAACACTTATACAATCACACTTACCTGTGTATACACCAAGGGAATACTTATCCAATCATGACTCACCTGTGTATACACCAAGGGAACAGTTATCCAATCATAACTCACCTGTGTATACACTAAGGGAACACTTATCCAATCATAACTCACCTGTGTATACACCGAGGGAACACTTATACAATCACACTTACCTGTGTATACACCAAGGGAACACTTATCCAA